ATACATATACATTAGCTCTTTAGAGCACGGAAAGCCACGGCCTTGAAAATTCACACACACTCAGATTCTCATCTCTGTTACAACCCCACCATGCTGGTGCCACCCTAAATTTTAATGAAAAGCGCCCAGGTTTGCCCTGGCGCAACAAAGATCAGCCCCAAGTCGTGAAGAGGGATGGACCAGATGTAGGGTGTTTATTTATAAAGCCTCCCACCTCTCTGCCTCCTGGCAAGTCACATATCCTGCCAAGTCACTGCACACTGAAACCAGAATTAAAATACAATAAACTACTGTAAGAGAAAGTGCTGAAACCTCACCCTTATAACATTTCCACAGATGAAGAAAATTGAATATAGAAGATCCAATTAGGAACAGAGAGAAAGACTCAGGAAAATTATAGCACTTGAGGCAGCAAAGTGGCCTTTTAAAGGGCTCCATTTGCACACAGAGCGTGGTACCTGCAGGACAGGAGGGCAGTGCCTGAGGGGGGTCTGTCACCACAAGAACTGGCAGGGTTTGGCTCACCTACCAGTGCCAAGGTCTGAAGGTGGGGAGCTGAAACCCAAGTGGGGTCATTGCAGTGGTGGAAGCCTGGATGGCTCCCAGGCAAACACTCCAAAGCTCCTTCACCACTGATTTCCCCAGGTGCAGGATGAGGCCACTCCAGATCAGGGCTCTGGGCCAGGTCTCCAGAGCAGCTCATTCCAGGCTCTCCCATCAGTCCTCGGGACACGTTTATGACAGATGAGGGGCAGAAACCTTCTCATGATGACAAATACCACACAACAGTATCCTGGCTAACAAAGCAGAGCCTGCCCAGCATCCTCCTTCCCCTGCACAGTGAGGTTGATGCCTCTGTCCCCTGCCAGTCACATCCACTTGGAGTGTAATCCTTCAAACCAGCTGCATATCTTCCCCTTCCCAAGGGCAGTGGGCGGCTCAGGGGAGCCCTGATCTCAGCCAGGCCAGAAGTAGCAATAATACCATAATCACAAGGCAGCAGGTGAAACCCCATATTAAAAAAAAAAAAACAAACAAACAACAACAAACCCTTGCAGATCACACTGGGCCAGAACCACACCAGGGCAACGTGACTGCCCTTGAAAAGTCTGTGATCCACCTTACATCCCTCTGGAAGGCTATTCCTCACCCAAGATAAATAGCCCTCTGCTCAGCAGGGCATCAGAGTGTTTACAGATTAATTTTTTCTTTTTTTTTTTTTTTTCCTGAAGAACATCTACTCCATAAAACAACAATTAGCTGCACTCTGAATTTATGAGTGTAATTTGCAATGCTGGTACAGCACGGGCCGCCGCGGCTTTCACGCCGTGGTAATTGTTTGCACTGCTGTGAAGGAGCCAGAACGAGGCACACCGTGGCTTTTTGGGGATTGCTGAAAAAAAGGAGATGCTGTTGAAAATGCCACCACCTTCACAGGGGCAGGGGACACCTCTGCAGCGAGGCAGTGACCACCCAAAAAATTCGATTTCCACCACGCAGGGTGGCGGGAAGGATTTGGGTTGCAGGTTTTGGCTCCATCAGCAAGAAGCAGCTGAGGCAAAAAGGACCAAGAAAAGCTAGAAGCTAAACTTTTCAGAGGCAGTGGTAATTAAAAGACTTCACGTAATTGAGACACGGAGGAAAAGCATTAACAGGGGGGTCTCCCCCATCCTTTCTTACGGAAAAGTCACCAGAGTCTAGTAAGGAATTATTAGCTTAGATGCTTAGGGGGGGAAACTTCTCCAGGGGAAACACAGGTATTAAAAGATGAGCCTGGATGGATGGAGTTCTCATATAGCCAAGATCCCTGATGGAAGTGAACTCATTTACATACCCAGCCACCGTGCCAACTAACCAGCAGCTTTCTCCTCCTACAAGGCGTAAACAGGGTGTAAGTGCCAAGTTTGCTTTGCATTTCCGCCTCTCTCCCCCATTCCAGCCATTCCCCACTCCCAGCCATTCCAGCAGGGAGCTGCTCTGCCCAGGACCAGGTATTATTTACCTTAATGGTAAATGAGAATTGCTGGCAAAACAATATTGCAGGTTTGGTTCCACCACAGCTGAAGCTCTCATCCCCACCCCTTCCATCCCTCCTGCCTGCCAGCAGGCTGCACCCACAGAAACAGATGGTCCCTTCAGGTCAGGGCTCCTCCAGACTGAGAGTGTGCAGCCCAAGCCAAGAATCACATAAATAGCATGGGATCTGATGGGGAAAGAGGGATTTTGTACAGGAGAGGTTGAGCCCTGTCTGGGCACAGGAAACCTGGAGTCACAAGGCTGTACCTCCTTCCCTGCAAAACATATACAAAATAAAGTGTGTTCTACAGGGATGGGGATTTAAATCCTTATTCCCTTCATTGTCTGCATCTTAAGGCATCAGTTTTAAATGGTAGAAGCATGTCTACAGATTTATGTGCATCTTTAAGGTCTAATTTACATAAAAAACAAGTGCAGAGCGTTTCTCAGCCCCAGGGCACAGCACATACAAGGAGAACACCTAATGAATTAAAAAATGTTTGGATAAAACTTATATAAACTCTTCCATATGCTAATAAGATGAAAGGCTATAATTACAAGCTGAATTGTGTACTGACACAAGTAGCTCAGCGCAATAAATGACATAATTTCAGTGTCCTTGAGTCCAAAATAACATATTGTGCAAAGCTGCTTTCTCATAAATCTCTCTCTAGGTTCTTTTTCAACACCTCTGGAAGCACAGGCGATGCTAAGGGATGTAATAACTTCTCAGCTGGTATAAATTTCAACTTGATAGGGATCACCCAATATTTGAGGGCACATTTCCACTTCCTAAAGAGCCTTGATAGAAGGTAATTATAACCTTAGCTTGCATGATTTGAGTCATCAGCTGGCATTCACAGGAAAGCTACACCTAAATGAGGTGTGTGTGTGTGGTGCAGGGAGGGGGAATATTCTCACCCAGCTTCCACACTCTGATCTTTTCACCCAACATAAATTTTTAATGCAGGAGGAACGTCATTTTTGCAGTACAAAGCCGGGAAGCACTCGAGTTTTGTGTCAACAGCCAGCCACAGGGAGACTGCGCTCCACAAACACGCACTGCCAACAAAATCCATCTCCCCAGCCCTTCAATTCATGAGTCGCTGCCTGTTGTGCTCAGAACATAATCCTGCACAGCTCCTGGCCTCAGCTGGGCCTCTCCCCCCACCCCAGTTACTCAGGTGGGGTAGGGATGATAGTGCCTCATCCCCCAGAGGAGTTCATTACCACTTTCTACGCCTCATGCACATGGGTAAAGCGACACAGCACAAGCCTCCAGAAATGCTACCCCCAACGTGACACCAGTCTGGACCTCCTGGCAAGCATGCACTGACCAAGGTGAGCTCTCCATCCCTGACCTTCTGCTGGTACCTCAGGGCTCCAACCTTCGCTCTCTGTGCCAACACACACCAGCCGGTCGGGCTGTCACTTAAAGGACTCACAGCCTTTGCAGGCACGATGAAATGACAGAAAAAAAAAATCAAAACAAGGAGTAAAAAAGTCCTAGAGAGGCGAAGCTGACACCAGAGCGGTGGCCAGGATGGATTCTGCCTCCTGGGCTTACAGCACACAGCACTGACAGGAGCACTTCGCCTCCTCCTCGGGCTGGTCCCAGGCTCCACGTCATCATCACCCCAATTTTAATCAATCTGGGCACATATTGCTCCCTTACAACTGTAATTAGAGCTCAGCTGAATATCTTTTTCCCAGCACTATGAACTCCAAGGTTATTTAGCACAACCTAATCAATCGGCTACCTTGACGTTCCACCTGGAGTTAACGTGGACCAAAAGGAAGTTATGAGAGGAGAAATGTGCAGAGACTGCAGTCTTTCCCAGAGTCCTTTCCTGCCCCCTCTTTGCCACAGTGATGGAGACAGTCAGCACTTTTTCTGCAGATCAATACTGCACGTGGATGTGACCACCACTCCAATTACTGCCTCAATTACACCTGCACACCTACCCCTTCACCGAAAAAACACCCTGCAAATGCTGCCCCTTGGAATGGCACCTGTGGGAAATCATTAACCCACTAATTCGAAATCAATTTAAAGTCCATTTGCCTAATGACATGAGCACTGTAAATTATCTATAAATTCTTAATTTATGAGAAAATGACATCAGAATTTTTGTTTTATTAATTGGCTTTTCCAGATGCAAGTTATTCCTGAAGCTTTATAATCCATGTCTCTTGGTGAGCAAACATTAAAACCTGCTTAATAAGACAACTTCTATGCCAAGAAAAAGAGCAAAATGAGTAAACCAGCTCTTGTGAACACTTCAGTATAAGGGTTTATGCATTCATCCTAGCAATTAGAGAAGGAGAAGTCATGGGGAGATTGAAAAAAAGGTCCTTTGAGTGTCTGTTCACGTTCGTGAACAAAATTGGTTCCAACCACATTTGCATTTTTCAGAAGCAAAATTCCTCGGAGTGCAGAAACCAACAGCAGCCCAGGTCACCTCTCCCGTCATCCTCGTGCCTCCTTGGCAAGGGCTCAGCCAGGCACAGGCTGAGCTGAGAACCCACCTCTCAGTCAGCAAATATTTGAGTGACTGACTCACTGGCCAGAGCGTTTGCAGGAAATGATTGTGAATCACATTGTGATTTCTTCGGTGGTGTTAGAGCCTAACTTTTCCTACCTATTACTAGTGCAGGAGGGCAGAGACCTTCTTCAGATTATTTTCCCATTATTCCATGTACCCAGGTCCATGAAAGACAAGTATCTCATCCCCTAACTCCGGTTTCAATCTCTGACTTCATGTCTCATGCCACTCTCCAGGTCCTGAATTTCCCTCCTACCCCAGACAGCTGCTTGGGCACTGCTCACACACCATCCACAGCCACCCACAGGAATCAGGTCCGTGTGATTTCTCTACCCCATGGTAACCAGGCAACAGGGCTGCAGTTTTCAAATATTGGTATTTACCAACAAAAACGTGCAAAGAAATCAGGGGTTTGACTGACCCAAAGAGCAAATGCACCCGAGGAACCTGCAGCTTGGTCCCAGGCAGTTGCCTGGGCATGGATCCACTGCACAGGAGTTGCTCGGTCCCAGCACTCATCTTTACTGAACAGTCAGAAATAAAACCTCCAGATGCACAGTGACCTTGACAAGAACAAAAGAAGGGAGCATAATGATTTCAGCTGCAGTCTGATGTCCAGCAAATCTTTCAGCCCTGGGTTTTCCAATTTCAGAACGATTTTAAGGGAAAAGACAGTTACAGGAGCCAGGTAATGGGCTCCTCAGCGGAGCCAGCAGGAAGACAGCCAGGCAGCAGGGTGAGGCACAGCTCAGCGGAGCTTCAAAGCCCCAATTTCCACCTGGGAAGAAAGACAAAGCCACAAGGTCTTTCCCAGATGTGTCCAGCAGTGACTTGCAGGTCACCGAAGCTGGCAGCATTACTGCTCGTTGCACCACGGCACACACACCCGTGGGGTAAGGCAGCTCCACTCCCTCTCTCCCTGACCTTTTTAGGACTTGATCCCCGAATCCCCCCAACCAGCACGAATGCCCTCAAGAGCAGTTGTGTGCAAAGAAATGAAAGCTCCATGCAGGGAGCAGCCACCCTGCACTCCAGCAGCAGCCAGCACACACAGACAGCTCCTTTTTTTTTTTTTTTTTTCCCTCCAAAATAGAAAGCTGCAGTCTCAAAGCTTTCCCTCTTCCATTAATGCTCTATTTAAGTTAGTCTTTGAATCTGTCTGGATTACAAACCCATCCTCTCTCAGCAAACCCCCTTTCCCAGACAGCCCTCCCCTTCCCTCTGCTAAGTAGATACTAAATATAAATATATACCCTGGAGAACGTGTTGGGGAAAAAAAAGGAGGACTGGGATTTTTAAAAAGCTTTCCCCGTCCTTCATCTACTCAACAAACACACAGACCAAAACAGAGCTGCTTTGTTGTTTGCTTTCAGGGCTCCCAACCGAGAGCTCATCCCTGCACCGCCATTCATCACCACGGCTCCCGCTGCCCAGTGAAACGCTGGGAATGCCCTTCCTCAGGGATACACCAAGCCCCTCTGCTGCTCTCCTCCAGCAGATCCCAGCCGTGCCCGGGCGGGGCAGGTGATGAATACGAGCGTGATGAAAGAAGAGCTGCCAGATGAATGCTGGCCCTATTCCCCAATCCCCTAGTGAAACCAATCCAGTCGGAAGAATCCCCTCCTGCTGATATGCTAATAGTTTAAATGAGCTTTAATTGCTTTCCCAACACTGCCCGTGCCACTCAGACACCCGCCCCAGCCCTCAGTGCTGTCAGCCCTGCTGTGCCACACCTGCACCACCACCCAAACAGAGGAGATGCTGCTTCCCATGGGGCTCTTCTGCTTGTCCCACTTGTGCTCCGAATGTATTCATGCTGGAGTGAAATCACAGCACCACCTGTTCTGATCATTTCACAGCTCCCATTTGAAAGAAAAACACCCCTAGGGCGGGGGAGAGCCGAAAAGAAAAATCCAGGCCCTTGTGCTGTCTGCTCTTGGAAGCAGCGGGGAAGGGTGCGTGGGTGCAGGTAGAGATCAGTGAGTCACACCCCACCCTCAGCCAGCAGCTCTCCCCCCTCTGCAGCTCCTGCCGAGCCCAGTCCAAGAGCCCAGCAGAGTCTCTGCAGTTGTGGGTGATGTACCTGCCCAGGCTTGACCTTGGCTGCTGCAGCTGCGCAGACCCAGAGGTGGCAGATCAGACTCACCTCTGTCTGTCCATCAAACAGAATTCCTCCAATTTTGCCCTGGCACTAAATGAGCATTTCAGAGGCTTTGGCTCGCAGTCCTCCACGCAGGTCACTTGAAGCAGCAGGGTGACATGCCTGGCCCTCAGGAAGGTCTCGTCCCCACCCAAACCCTCATTTCCCTCCATGGCCTCTGCAGTACCTTGTTCCCACTCCCCCCCAGCTTCGAGCCCTGAGCTCCCACAGTAGCACAGCCCTCCTTCAGCCTGGATCACAGCAGCACAGGTCAACCCACACTGCCTCGTAATGAGACGACGTTACCATCCCTCTGCAGTGCCCCCAGGGAAGAAACCAGTTGTCTTTAGCTCTTGCAACATCCCATGTTTTCGACCAGCTCCCACTCCCCTCTCTCCCCTCAAATTTTGTCCCCTGGCCACCACACCCCTCTCGGAGAGGAGGGAGCATAACCAACAGCCTGATGCAAACGCTCTTGCAGATAAGACACCAGAGAACCTCAGTGATGTCTCTTCCCAGATACAATGCAAGGCCCTGCCTAGATCCCTGGGAACATCCTCAGTTTTATGTTTATTTTTCAGTGTGATCATCAAGCAAGACAGCAAAGTGACTCGTCACCATCCATCACGAGCTTCATTGTTTAGTAATAAGATGTATTGCCCCCTTGCAGCAGAATAACACTCCAGCCAGAGCTCCCATTTGTTATGATCTGGCTGACTGGGACAGCTGTTCACGTCAATGCTGTAAACACTCCGTTTGGGCAGAGACAGCAAGTTTTAACTGCTAATAAATGGGACAGGCTGCCAGCACCCGTGAAGTGAGAGGCTGGTCACCATCAGCCTTCCCCAGCCAGGCTCTTGCAGCAGCTCCAGGTCAGGGCTGCAGCCACTGACCCCCTTCAAACACAGCACAGGGAACATGGCTCTGCCTGCTGAGCTGTCCCAGCAGCCAGGTAACCCTGCTGGGAGCTGCCACAGCACAGCCATAGGCACAGAGCATCCCCAAAATTCAGCTGTGGGTTGGCAGGAGGGGTTGGTTATGAGTCAGCTGGGTAAGGAGCTTTCTCAGCTGGAAGGAATGGACTCAGAGCGGCAGTGCTGGAGGAAAAACTTACTTGTCTCCGTGCATCTGGAGGAAGCTGAATCTGCTTTTCTGTACTTGGCTTTATTAGAAATGGCCTCAGCAGAGCAGACAGCAGAGAGGCTTTCTGGAGAGCACTGGGGGTCTTCTCTGGTAGCACACGATGACAACCTGTGGAGGACAAAATTAGTGCTTAGTTGGGGGTCTCTGACCTGGTGCCCTCTGTGTTGTCCAGGGTTAAGGAATGCTCTTCTGGTTGGTCACCAGACTGTTCAGCCATAAAGCTCCAGAGCAGCAAAGGCCCAGCAAACCTGAGCCTCTGGCAGCAGCTGGAAGATGGCAACTACGTATTGGAGGGTGAGATCTGTCACCACACCAGATGCCTAAACACACACTTGGGGAGTTCAGAGTATAATTTCTCTCTCCCCACATAAAATCCAGGCCCCAGGGAAACAGCAGCTTTCCCATGTTCCCAGCTAGTGCCAAGAGCCCTGGGACACAGTGAGGGTGCTGCACGAGAGCCAGCTCAGCAAGGGCACAACCCCTGCAGGGCAGCCCTAGATGAGGCACAGGAGCCTTCCAGCAGCAGATTTCACTGAGGTCACAGCCTCACACACCAGACACAGATGTCACTTCCACTTTTACATCAGGAAAAATAAAACTTAGAGACATACAGGCACAAAGCACTCGTGACATCTCGTGGTTTATCATCACTGTCATTCCAGGCATTCACAACAGCCTGGGTTTGTCCTTTGGCTCCCTTATAGCAGCTCCTTTGAGAGATACATGGATATGGGGGCAGAGGGCAAGTCTGCTTATTCACACACATGTTTCTGACAAACTAGAACCCTCAGGAAGACTGCAAGGGTTAAAAAAAAAAAAAAAAGAAAAAGAAATCAGCCACCAGCCTCTGTAGCAGCTGACCCCTAAAGAGCATACATAGGAACGCTGTCCAGAGCTAGCTCAGTAGCATTTGAAACAAAAATAAAAAGCTGGTCCAGCTTTCCCAGAATTCAGCCAGCCCCCCAGACTGTTTCTGCTGTCTGCAAGCAGAGCTGTGTCTCTGTGCCAGAGGACAAAGACTGAGTGTAAAGACAGGACAGGTAAAAGCAGCAAATATGACCCAAGCAGCACATCTCCCCTACCTCCCCTTGAGCAGCCTGGCAGCTTAAGGAGTTTCTCTTGTGAGAAGCTTCCCCCTCTCCAAACAAAGAGCTGGAAAGAAAATCCCACAGGCAGCGCTTCTTGGGCTGTCTCTCATTTAGGAAACAACCACGGGTCCAGGTGACACTCAAGGCGATGAACCATCACTCCTCACCCTCCTGTGACAAAACTGCCCTATCCATCAAACACAAACCCCTCCAAGCAAAGCAGAGCAGCCGTGGCAGGCAGCTACAAACTCATCATGCTCTTGAATGCCACCAAGGGACAGCTCATGCCTCTCATCTCTGCCCTGAGCGTGGAGCTGTTCTGACAGGCAGTGCTCAACGATGAGGCAACAAACTTCTACCACACTCAGACAACCATTAGTGGACATTTACCTCTGCACAGATGTTCAAAAAACTCACCCTGAGCTTGCCCTGCCCCACTCTCGGGGTTCAGCCTGGTTAGAGAAATAATCTCTGGGCACCTCCCATTTCACATGGGAGTTTCCTAATCACCCAACACCCATCACACTCCAAGGAGGCTGCAGAGCTCCCTGGAGTCAGTGATGAGCCATCAGTGCCCACACCTGTAGCTAGGATGAGCCCGACACAGAACATCAGCTGCTCATCTTCCTGCCAAAACCAGCCAAGCCTCAATGCTCTCAGTGCCACTTTTCAGCTGAACCCTTCAGCAGCTGGGTGTCCTCACCTTTGTCTTGGGACTGTGAGACTGGAACATCTTCCACTGGAAGAGAACATGACCTGTCCTCCCTGCCCACGTGCTCTCACATGGGCTACCCAAAGCAGCACCACAGCCCTTCCTCTCAGACCTATCCACACCTCCCTCCTGCCCAAACTCACCCCTTGCTGCTGCCTCTCAACCTCCTTTTCCACAAGCTATGATTCAGGCAGGCAGTAGAAATGTTCTGTGTTTGTAATTTAATTTAGCCCCCCCCACGTCCCACCACCAGAGCCTGGTGCCAGCTGGTGCCTTCCAGCCCAGCCACTGCTGCACTTACAGTGCCAGGTTAATCCAGACTGATGCACACACAACCCCACCTGGCAAAGCAGCTTCTCTTCTTAAAATCTGGAGTAGAAACCAAGTCTTTGTCAATCTTTCTCACCCCAGATCAAGGCACTTCAGGCTTTATTCCTATCCAGGCTCCTTCACTGCTTTTCTCCCTGTCAAAACACCCATCACGGTGCTACCAGGCTCCCTGTCCCTGCCTGCTGCAGTCAATAAACTTGCTCTAACTTGAGAAAAGGAAAAAGCAACAAGAAATAGGCACTGTGGGCCAACACACAGAAAAACACGAGCCACAAACCTCTCAGGTACCCACTGGTTTGGGCTCACTTGAGCTCCCGCCCCGGCTTACAGAAAGGAGAGCCTGGCACCCAGCCTGTCTGGCTTTTGCTCATCACCATCCTCAGGGTTTGGGGAGCACAAAATAACTGAATAAACAGCCAACAGGGATTAAAAAAAAAAAAAAAGAGCATCCCCGAGGCACAGCTCCCCACGGGGCTGCCAGAGCTCCGGAGGAGCCACTAAGATGTGTCATCTGCGGGGTGACAAATTACCGGGGAAGACAAGAGGGTGAGTCATCCTCTCTGAGTGACCCCTGTGTCGCTTGTTAGAGGGGGAAGGCTGTTCCCGAGCTTCTCAGAAAGAGGATAACGAGCCATGTGGGGCTCTCAGGAACCAGCCAGGGGCCAAGCTCAATGCAGGGCAATGCCCTCATAGGCATCATCTGAGAGAGGGGGTGGGTGAGGCACCGAGCACAGCAGGGGGGAGAAAAAAAGAAATAAAACCCTGAAAATACTCCTTTTTGTTTTTCCCCCCTTCTTTTTCCTATCAGCATGGGTGAGTCAGGTAAGGTTTAAAGGCTCCCTGTTTCTATGCTAAGCCACCCATAGTGGGGTTGGTTTTGGGGTGGGAAGGAGCCTGTGTGAGAGGGAACACAGGCAGAGCCCTCAAATGCTGCTGTGGAGGTAATGGAGACCTCGCTGTGCCAGGGGCTGACAGAAGACCAAGGGGAATTTGCTATGTGTGATGAAGACTTCACACCAGACTCTCTCACCTGGAAGGAGAGATGGGGCTCTGCCAAGTGGCAGGCAGCAGATTTTGGAGTATGGGCCATGAGCACTAGCACGGGGTCTGAGCCAGCAGCCTGCGTGGACAGGCTCCTGCAGATGAAAACACAATTCCTTCTCTCATCTGCCACCTGTCAGCCTGTGTAATCCCTCCTCCCAGCCCCTTCCCCTGTCCCAAACCCTTCCTCAGCCCAGCAGCCGTTTTCTGAAGAGCCATGGAAACCTTCCATCTCTGCCCGTGCCTGCAGCTGTCCCACCCCTTTGCCGTGCCCCCATCCCCACATTTGGCAGACCTGGGCACTCACCAGGTGGTCCTTCAGTCCTGCAAAGGGAAACCTGTGCCTCCTCTGTGGTCCACAGCCCGCACACAGCTCCCTGCCTGTGTGCCAGGGAGTGCCTCTCACACCTGCTCGTGGGGCACAGGGTGAATTTCCCAACGGCAAGGTTGAGCATAAACCCTCCCCTATTGGCAGTCCCCAGCTTCTCATTAAAGGGAACACATTCCTCCTTCCCGTGGGCACTGATCTGAGCATTCCTGGTATTTATTAACTGAGGTTTCACCGGAAACTTTGGCCTCACTGAAGAAGTGAGGGCTGGAAATCAAGGGAGGTTTGTGCTGTCAGTGCTGTCCTCCCCATCAGCGTTGTACGTGGCTGCTCTGTGGGCACACCCAAATGAGGGGGTGCAGGGGTCTTCCCCCTGCCTCAGTGGAGTTCTGGGAGGTGCAGAACAGCCCTTTGGGTGCTGCAGCACAGGGAGAAACCACGACCAGAAGTTCATGCTTTGGGAAGCTGCAGTGCTGCAGGAGCAGGCAGGTGAATCCCCTTCTCATGGAGTCAGCACAGGACAATCTTCATGCTCTGGAAGAAGCACAGCATGGAGTGGAGGAGTAAGAAGGCTCCACAAAGCTTGGCTGATGCTCCTGCTTGATCCAGTCCTCTTGCAGACCCACGTGGGATCCTGAGCGGCCTTTTCCAGACTACCAGCTCTTCTGGATGTGATAAATTGGCTCCAAGAGGCCTGATTTCAGCAGTAGGAGCAGCCAGCCTTGTGCACTGGTTCTGTGCCTCCTTCCCCTTGCATTCCTTCCGCACACAGCACAGATCCTGCCAGTGCCACTCTTGGCTGTCACTGCATTCGCATCAACAGCGACATGGTGACAAGTGAGGGATCCAAACGTGAGAATGTCAAAATCTTTTATTTACAACAGTCTCCAAAAATCGAGGGACACTGAAAATAGTGAGGGTAGGAGATGACTTACAAAAGGAACACGCTTACATCAGGAATTTGTGCTACATCACTCTGAGAACTGACACTCTAAGGTCTGCACACGACGTGGTGAAACGGCAGTGCCCACCCTCCCTCTGTCCTTGGGGTGCTCACAGCTCTTCTCCCCTTGCATTTTGGACCATCCTCCCTCCCATTTGTTCTGCTGCCCCCTGCAAACCTTTCTGCTCATCTTCTTGTTGCTCTGGTCCTGGCCCTTGCCCCCCACTTCCCTCCCCTGCCCAGAGGAGGAGTGGAGGGGAGAAAGCCAAACAACTCTGTCCTCAGGATGGAGACAAGCCTTGAAAGCCTCTGAGCTCTGGGACCCTGGGTGCTACCCAGGGGGTGAGCAGTTAGCAGAGGCCTTTGAAAAATCTGTGAACTATGGCCTGTGTGCTATCTGGGGTGAGCAGTGATTTCAGAAGAAATAGCCGAGAGACTGTGAATTTTTCTTGCCTGGCTGCAAATCAATCTGCACAGCTTCCTCAGTGGACAGTGTGGGAGGATTTATATGTGTCATGGGGTTGAATAAAAAGCCTTTTGTAACCTTGCAGGAGGGCAGGCTGCTCTGGTATGAAAATTCAGTGCAGGACAAGCTAAAAGAATTAGACACTGACATAAAGCAACATCTCTGCTCCAGGAGAGACAAAGCCAGGGGCTCTGGAGACCATTGCATCCAGACTACTGTGTCAGTGGTCCCAGTAGCTCTCTAAACATGCCACGTGTCCTTCTCCTTCATGATATTTCTCAGGCTGCCTTTGCCCCGGCATAGTTTCAGATCCAGCAGGGATTGAGAAACACAGCCCAGCTCAGCCACTGATCCCTTTCAGAACCTGCAGCCTTGGCAGTTGCTGAATTCAGCGGCCAAACCTGATGGCCCAGTTGCCCAAACCCTCAAGATCCACCATGACATAAAGAAACCAACAGAGTAAGGAGTCCTGGGTCTGTTCCTTCCTCTGACACTGAGCTTTGCTCATCACAGCAGCTCTGTTCCTCCTTGCTCCAAAGCTGATGTGTTTAAAACCATCAAAGCTGACAGGCTTGTGTGCAGCAGTTTAACTCCCTGGTTTCCTCTGCCTGAGAAATTCTCCCTGAGACTTCTCCATCCACTTCCACTCCAGACTCTGTGAGCACCTTAGGCATGAGCAGCTACCCTGGAGAAGACTGAACCTTGCTCAGCAAGACAAGGGGTCCCAAGAGATGGTCTGGGAAACAGAGGAGTCATCAGAGGAAGAAGATAGGCAGAGATGTGGGAGGAATCGACTCAGGCTGAGCATCTGCTCCTGGAACAGTACCAGACAGGTGAGGCCTTGCTTTTTATTGCTACAAGCATCTGCCTCAGAGCACCAATTCCCAGCAGGGCTGTCAGCCCCACCTCCACATTTGCTAAGATAAAGCCATCCCTTTTCTTACCCCTATAATTTTATGGATATTTTGTAATCACAGGGAGGACACTGCCTACGTGGAAATGGATGTATACATCTGCTCCTGATTTATCCTCACCACAGATGCTTGGGAAGATGTGGATGTTGTGTTTTGGGGCAGGCTGGGCCCCACCTCTGAGCCTCTTTCACTCCACGTGGAGAAAGCACCAGCCACCCTGATCAGAGAGCTGTGCAGAGTGAAGTGGTGATAGGGCAGATGATTAGTTAGATCTTAAGATGAGTGTCATGACTTTGTTTAGTCACAACCAACATCCAATGAGTCCTTACAGCAAAAAACATCACCTAAGATCATCTCCTGGCTTTTCTGCCATCCTGCCACAAGCTGGTGTAAGCTTCTCTTCCTCTCCTTTCCTCAGTTTCCTTGCTGGAGGGGCACAATCTCCTCAGTATGCCTTTGTGAATTGTCTGCTGCAGCTCTGCACTTATCTCAGTGTCTCCTGCTCCTTTCTGATTAATTCCATCCATTGCTTTCCCAGTGCCACCTTGAACAGTCACAGGCCAGGTGATGCCCTGCTCCTGCCAGTGCCAGCCAGCTCTTCTGCACTGAGGGAGCTGGGCTGGCCAGAGAGGAGGAGGGAAAATGAGAGCTTGTCCTTTTCCTTGCCTGCTCCAGAAAACAGGATGTATCCTGTCATGTGCCAAGTACTCTGTTATTTTTGTCTGCACATCAGACACTGCCAGATCAGACCCAGGAGACATAAAAGGTTTCCCACTACTTTGGAATTAATCTTTGCCTTCCAAGAGTGGCTGAATGAATCTTCCCAGCATGGTGTGTCCAGAGTCCTGCTGGAGGTGGGGGGCTTATGTAGCCTTTTTATAGTGAGCATAAATGGAGGACATCAGGGGCTAAAGTCAGCTTTCAACTTTGCAGGATTCAAAGCACACCTATGCCTTGTCCTAAAGGCCTTTCAAGTTTCTTCATGCTCATAAAAGGAAGAACTTCCTCTAATAGTACCCTCAGCACCTTATTCTCTTGTCTGGTGACCTGGAAATATCCATCAGCTTTAATCATCCCAAGGAGGTCGAACTCTTTGCCAAATTCAGGTCAGACCACCCGCCAGAGCATCCTTGGCAGCAGCAGCACCTGCACAGCCACACGGGTCCCAGGGGGCTGTGTATCATCAGCACCCTGCCCTCTCTGCGCACTGCCACTTAGGAGTGCTCAGGGCACCACCAGGAGTTAAACCTGGAGCCCAGATGTAGGGAAAAGCATGGCTTTCAGATCTAGGATCGGGCTGGACCATGCACAGCAGCCAACAAAGCAGCACAGCTTAAGGATAGTCAAAAATCCTTCCCAGGACCATTTATTTGTGGGCACAGAGTTCATTATGAAGGAGCTGTGCAGATCAGAGGGAGGTGCCAGGGAGCATTTAACACTTTGCAGAAAGGGGTGACTCAGTTGCACCATGGGACAGGGAGGAGAAACCAGGTCTGCTCTGCTCACGCTCTCACCCACCTCACTGTCTGCAGCAGAATTGCTCTGGCAATCTCTGGCTTCCCCCTGGAATCAACAAGAGTCCTGTCCTGTCACTCCTCTCTCCAGCTGACACCTTGGAGAACCTACTTTAGAAACAAGCATCTGACCCAGTTGCACAGAGGTGACATGATGTGAAGGTGTAAGATCAGCAGGCATCAGAGCAGGGATGCACTGAGCCAAGCAGAAGCAGCTGCTGGTCTCTCAAGCAACACAGGCCCCAAACCTTGGATGGAAATGGGAATGGAATTTCCATCTTAAAAAGGGGGGGTTGATCCAGACAGAGAACACAAAGCCACCAGGGACATGGAATCTGCAAAGAAATGGAGTCGGGCTCCTTCCTGGCCACGTCCCTCTGTTGGTATCCCTGTAAATAATGGTAATGCATCTCCCTGTGGGCCCGACTCTTCCCTTCTGCCGAGGACCAGATGTGCTGCATCTCAATGCACACTTAGCCATTTCAATTTTAAAAATATGATAGAACCAGTGATGCTTAAAATGTACTTGTTAATGGCACCAGTTTGCGATTTCATTTTACTTTAATGCAAACCATCTGCTCGGAGCAGGAAGCAGCTGCAGCTCTGCTGCCCTCGTGTCCCTGCACAGGAGGGTGTCTCTGAGCTGCCACAGAGGATGCTGTGCATGGCACCAGGAATGGGCTCTACCCAGGGGTTCCCTTGTGCTCAGGATAAGAGCTGACTGCTGTGACCAAAGGGCTCTGCAGCGACCTCAGGGCTCTTTCCTCTCCACCATGAAGGGCAGAGGCAGCGACTGGTGAGGTGACCAGGAGCGACTGGGCATCCGTACTGCCTTGGCCTCACCACTGAGATGAGGGAGAGGAGGGCAGGCTGTTGATGGCTGTTCACAGACCCAAGAGACTCCAGCAAAAGGTGCTCTGTCCCCTCAGAAAAAAAGGGGAAAGCCATGTGGCCCAACGCCCTCCCCGAATGACAAAAGCAGGTGGTGCCACCCAGCACCTCTAGTTTGGATCCCACAGTGACACCCATGAGAGCTCCTGTGCAGTGAGTTCACTGCTGGTGTGGCTTGGGTACAGGTAAAGGACCAGATAATGCTGTTCTCCAGGCCAGTCCAGCAGCTCACTGCTGTTCTTGGAGGCTCAGGCTTGGAGTGGGAGTAGGATGTCACTTCAAGAGCCATTGTTGCAAATGCTGACCCTGGACAAGGGGAGGGAAGAGACAGAGGGAAGGGTTTTTTTAAAGGATCAGATGGCCTTCCCAACTTCTCCCCTGTTAGCTTTGCGGTTCCAGAAAGCTCTGTTTGTTAAAAAAAAAAAAAAAAAAAAAAAAAAAAAAAAAAAAAAAAAAAAAAAAAAAAAAAAAAAAAAAAAAAAAAAAAAAAAAAAAAAAAAAAAAAAAAAAAAAAAAAAAAAAAAAAAAAAAAAAAAATTAAAAGAACAAGATAAGAAAAAAAAAAAAGAAAAGAAAAAACAGAAAGAAAACTGAGAGAAGGAGACCTCTTCCCCTCCTACTCACGGGCTGAGGTATTCCCTGGGCAGCCCTCACTGTCCGTCATCCATCCGTCACTACCCAAAATAAATACAAGTTTAGAGCAAAACTCATTAGAAAATAAAGTGCATCTGGAGTTGAAAAAACTTCTGGAAAAAAAAAAAGGGGGGATTTTTTTTTTTTTTCCTCTTTTGTTTTCGTTACAAAAAATATCCTTTAAAAAGAAAAGAGAGAAAAAAGAAAGGGGGAGAGCGAGAGAGGGACAGAGGCTCCCCGGCCCCGGGGGGGAGGTTCTACAGGGCTGTCCCGTTGGGGAGGGGGATCTTAAAGCCGCTCTTGAGCAGGGCGAGGCAGACGCAGAGGCCCAGCAGGCCGGCCAGGAGCACCCCCAGCACGGCCTTGAGGCAGGAAGTCCTGCTGCGGGTGAAGGTGCCGGGGCCCATGATGCTGAGCAGGGCCGTGCTCACAGTCAGCGTGTACACGATGGACACCCCCGTGTTGAGGGCCACGATCTTGCCGAACTTGGCGAAGGGGGCGATGATGCAGAAGAAGAGCGGGACGGTGGCGATGACGGTGGTGACGGCGCTCGACACGATGGCCACCCCCACGTGCCGCACGGCCTCCACGGTCCTCCACTGCCGGCACGCCCGGGGGTCCTGCGGGAGGGAGGGGCAGCGGCGTGAGGGCACAGCAAACAGGGGGATGCACTCACGGCTCAGGCTTTGGGGAGCAGAATCAGCCAGGCTGGAAGAGACCTCTGAGGTCAACGAGTCCAACCTGTGACCCAAAACCATGTTGTCGACATGGCACTGATGCCACATCCAGTCTCACCTTAAACACCTCCAGGGATGGTGACTCCACCGCCTCCCTGGGCAGCCCATTCCAGTGTCTGATCACTCCCTCTGGAAAGAATATCATCCTAATGTCCAACCTAAACCTCCCCTGGCACAGCTTAAGGCCGTGCCCTCTTGCCCTACTGCTGGTTCCTTGGAGAAGAGCCCGACCCCCACCTGGCTCCCCCTTCCCATCAGGGAGCTGTAGGGGTGCAAGTGGCACAGAGGGCACGAGAGGAACCAAAGCAAGGCTCTAGGAAGAGCAGAGCTCACCTCTGCCTGGTGCAGTGGCAGGTTCTCCCCTGCCAGCAGGTAGCCCTCCACCAAGTGCACGCAGTAATCCACAGAGGAGCCAACGAGGATGGAGAGGGAAATGGCCTCCACAGCCCCCATTTCCCAGCCAGACCAGTACATGATGGTCACCACCAAGCAGACGACCCCTGTGTGAAGAAGGTGACGTCAGGCAAATGTCAAGGACTCCAGGACTGCTGCCCAGTCCTGCTGATACCAGTCAATCCCCAGGGAGTTTGGGATCATATCCCCAACAGGTCTGCGTGCCAGCCACAGTCCTGTGCACACTCACTGCTGCCGCAGAGGCAAACACTTCCCTCCCCTTCCCTTGCCACAGGGATCATTCCATAAGGCAATCAGACCTGCTGGGGCTAGTGGAGCACCCAGATAAATCAGACTGATGCCAATCTAGACTGATGCCAATCTAGACTGATTCTTGCTAAATAACCCAAGCCCAGACAGGTGTGTGTGTGCACAGGCACTACAGGGAAGTGAGCCCCTTGTTTTGCTTGCTGGAGTCACACATACGGTTACTTTTTTAAAGGCAAGAGTTTGTTTGTGAGTCATGTGTGGGAGAGTAAGTGGTTTCAAAATGATAGATTTGATTTCTAAACTGAGAAGTTTAGCAACACGCTTGGACCACAATATCGTCAAATCACCAGCCAGGGAGAGGGAACTATTTACAAATTTCCTTCAAATACTAACAGAACTGCTAAAATATTCAGCTTTTAACATCTCCCACTGCTTGGAAACAACAGCCATGGTGCAGATTCTTGGGAAGTAATGCAATTGTTATTCAAAGCATGTGGGACTTAATCACATTATTATACATAACAGGCAGGGATGGCATTTGTGTAGCTAAAACCCTTATTTAAACAAATAGAAGGGATTGTGTAGATAAAACACACTGGGAATTAGACACACAAATCTATTTTCCCCGTGAGGTTCCTGTGCATTTGTTGAGAGTTTCTTCTGTTCACTTAGCAAGTCCATTCTCCAGGATTGACTCCTGGAAAGCCAGAAGGGTTTACACAGAGTAAGAGCAATTCAGTTCAAATCACCAGAGACTCACTCAGCAGTGCCTCAACCCACCAACTGCAGACTAAGGGAAAGCCTGGCACATTGGAATTGGCATTTTTACCTAAGATGCTGAGCAGCACTGGCAGCAGGAGGAGGATGTGCGTGGTGAACACGGCCACTGCAGCCACACAGATGACCAGAGAGAGGACAAGACCATACAGGGCACTCTGCACCCCTGGAAGAGAAGAGCCAGCTGTTTGAATCCTGGAAGGTGACAGCTGCATGACCATGTACCTGCTGGCAAGAGACTCACACTGGGGGAGATGGGGGTAGAGAATGAGAGTGGAAAGAAGGTGATCAGCATCCTGGATCTCACATCAGCAGGGCTGATTTTGCTGGGCTCTGACTAGGATTTTGACAGTACACATTGCTTGGGGAAGGAACAGGCTTTAGGATTTTGCTCAGCAGTGGCAAGGGACTGAAGATATAATCCAGGCCCACCAGATGGGACAGAGTGTGATGTGAAGATGTATCAGAGAGTGGGTTCCCAGGGAGAGAAACATGGCAGTCACTTGCCTATAATCTCCATGAAAATCTGCTTCCAGTGCTCACAGGTCTGGAAACCGTGCCGGAGAGCAGAGCCCTCTGGGAAGAGCTGGAGTTGCTGCTGCAGGAATGTCTCCCATTTCAGGTAGTCAGCGTAGGTCTGGAAGGACGACTTCCCCTTGTAGGTTGTCTGTAACGAGATGAACTTGTTACTGGTGCCCTGCTCTTCTTGTGTGGCCAGGGCAGAGGCAGAACAAGCCATCTGGAGTGGCACCACCAGGCAGAACTGGCAGTGGCATGTGGGCAAATCTTCCACCAGCCTTTTGCCTGAGCTAATTTTTGCACAAGCAGCCACTTCTTACAACTTGTGAGTGCAGGTATCTGTCTGCAGTGAGGCACAGACACTACTAAATGCTAAGTTATGGCTGCAGATGAAAGTGGCCAGCGCAGAAAGAGCAGAGCTAAACCCCCAGAAGTCACGGGATTAAACTGTCACCAGGATAGATGGCGATGCCACGTGCTCACCGATTCAAATGCCATGGAGATCCACTGCACCTTCCCATCCTTCACCCCCACTGCCCCGTGAGAGAGCTGTCCAGGCAGCAGGTTTGGCTCTGGGATGTTCTTGCACTCAGGGTGCAACATCTGCAGAAAGGAGGAGATGCTGTAACCTGGAGAGAAAGAAAGAGCAAGGGATGGAGAGCAGCCCAGGGAATGGAAGCACACTGGAGCAAGGGGATAAAAAAACCCAACAAAACACACCAAACCAAAACCCCCAACCAACAACCCAAAAAGAGAATCCCAAGAGGAAGCTGCAGGCCCCATTTGTCAGCAGCTGCTTCCCCTTGCCACTCTGGTTTGCCAAAGCCCTGGAGCTCTCAGCACCAGAGCCCTCAGCTGGTGTATTTTGAAGGGACATTCCATGCCATCAGCATAGGACAGGACACTGCCACTGCTGTCTGTCCCCAGCAGCACAAACAGCAAGTGCTGAGGGCTGTTCTGCAGGGATTTTCTCCAGGCATGAGATTGGCTTTTGGCCTGAAGCCAGTATGCACTTCCTAGGCTCAGCTTCACAACCTGGTGACCTCTTTAAGTTGGGAGAGACGGCCACTGCTCAGGTATGCAAAGCCACAGGCACAGTAACCTCACTGCAGTGAGATCAGGTGTGATTTGATGGTTACTCAGGAGCTACTCAGAAGAGATTTACTGATCTAAAAGATTAAAGTGTATCACAAGCAATACCCACGACTGGAAAGAACAGACGCAGTTCTGTTCTTATCTTCCTGGATTAAATCCCAAAGAACACGCCTTTGTGGTGCCTTTGGCGTTAAAGAGGCCGTTTTTCCTTCTCGTGTCCCAAAAAGCACAACCAAGGACACGTTCTAGAAAGGGCCAAGCTGCCTTGGGAAGAAAGGCAGAGCTGCAGGCAGGAGTTAGTCCAACCTACCCGAGGGCAGGCACTGGGCACCTCCGGGCTTCACCAGCTCGGTGTTGCTGGCGATGGCTTTGCAGAGGCGGCACAGGTTGCCAATCTCTTTGAAGAGGTCGAAGCTGTCATCGTAGATAACGCTGCCCTTTCACAAGGAGACACAACAACAGGAGCACCACACGTGAGGCACACACACAGCCGAGTCCTCTCCTGGCTGCACAGCCTGGGCCCGGCTTATGCAGGCCACAGGAAACCCACCAGACATCTCTGCCTCACCAGATAACCCAGGAAGAAGCTCCGTGTCCTGCCCACCCCACAAAATTCAGGCAGTTCAACAGAAACACTGATGAATGAACAGCCACCATGCCATGCCTAAAGCCTCTAGGGTCTGCCTAGAGCAGCAGCTCTGAATCCCTAAAGGTGCCCAGCACAGAACTCCAGCTTTCTGCCCATCCCACTGCCTGCATTTCTCACTGCCCCTTCCAGAGGGAACAGGTAAAGGCTGATTCTGCACAATGCCCCTAAATCAGAGGGCAGGAAGAACAGCAGAAAGCTGATGTGCATCAGCCAAGTGACCAGAGCTAAGCATAATTTTCCTGGGGGAAGGCTGTGAACGTGTCAAGGTATCTGATCTGGGAGATAAGCTGTTGCAAGAAAAGTCACATTTAGTAACCTTTCTCTACAGTAATTTATTTGTATTCTTTCATGTTAATATCTCATAACAAGATAAACAGTAATAGAAAAATACCAGTTCCCTCAGTCTTGAATTTGAAGTGAGATTTCATAGTGAGCTTAAGATGAGTTTGTTTCTAAAATCCTCAGGAAAGCCAGATTTAGACTCAAAATTAGAAGGTTACATATTGCACTCAAAGGGATTTTCTGAGAAGTCTGAGCTGTTTTCAGCAAAGGACTTCCTGATCTCCATTATTTGTCAATTTGCTGAAACAGAAGCGTGCTTTCGGCTCATCACAGCACTACCAGCTCTGCTGGATGGCCGGGCCACCTGCCTGGGCCGTGGGGATTACCCAGGCAGCGCCCAGAGAGGCTGTCCCGGCATGCCGGGCTGCGTGTGTACCAGGTCTCCGATGACGTGGTTGTCCGGGCGCCTGGTGCGGTTGACGCCCCTGATCCCAAACACCACGAACACCATGGCTCCCGTGTCCACCAGTGGCCGCACCGCCGGCTTCCCGCAGCCCGCGTTCATGCACGGGTTAAACCCAGACGTGGCCGACGGCTTCGCTCTGGGCGCCGCTGCCGGACACAAGGAGAGGGTTGGTTACTTTAGGCGGCCCCGGGAGCTCTGACTCCCTGGTTCTGACAAGCCAAGGAGGGCATCAGCAGCTCACCTTTCTCACTGGGAACGTACAGGATGCCTTTGGTGGGTCCATCCGGGCTCGAGCTGAGCAGACAGCCCGGGGGGGCCACGCACACTCGGCCGTGGTAGGGGGGCTTGTGCGACTGGGCGAAGTACAGCTTCCTGTGCAGCGGAGAAAGTTTGTTAGGGGGACACCAGGGGTAGTGAGGAGGGTTTGCCAAAGCAAACAGGCATTCTCAGGGGCAGAAGGAAAAGGAAAGGTGAGCATCTCCAGGCCTGGATCCCTAAGCCATTGCATACTGTGTGCTGCCCATGCAGCCCGAGAGATCAGGCAGGTAAGGACAAGAACAAGATCAGCAACATCTTTTTGGTGCCCAACGAAATCCCCAGTCACAGCCCTGCGCCTGTGAGGCCTTTGGCACGTTGGTGATGCTGTGGGCCTGCAGAATGACTGCAGAGATGGGGCACATGTGCAGCAAAGCACGTTCCAGGGTCAGGGATGTCACCAGCTGAGGGCAGGCCTGGCACTGGCCATTAGGATCAGCCTCTCGGCTGTGCTGTCTCTGCTGCCTGGCCACGAGGGGCTTTGGAAGCTCACCGTGTTCGCTGCTGCTCCTTGGAGGCCACGTAGAAGCTGAAGTCGAACTTCCAGCCCCTCTTGGTGTCACAGGACAAGGTGGTCATCATCCACTTCCTGGGGCTCGTCTGCTTAAGCAGCCCTACTGTGGACACACAAGCTGTCAGCTTCCTGGTGAAGTTACCGAAAGGCACTCTATACACCTAAGCAATGGATTAATGAAAACAGACACTTAACTCCACAGGGTTGCAGCCTGTTGCACATTAGCATCACACACTCCCCTCCTCCCTGAGCACTGGCACAGCCACACAAATGAGCACTGAAGGCACAATCCCAGCCCACCCCCCCCGGCCTTCCCAGGCTTGGCCACCAGTGTGTGTGTGATGGAGCCCCTCAGCACCCCAAATCCCAGTGGCCTGGGCTGAATGGTGGCTGACATCTGCTCAGTGACACCCACACCTCTGCTTCTATTCCTGACAGCCACATCACAACAGCAACAGGGAAGGGTTGTGGCACTACAAGGCATAATCTTTAACAATGCCAGGCACAGTGCCTTCCTTTCTAATTACCTTACTGCCAGGGTCACCCAGAGCTGCCTAGGACCCCCATGGAGAGACAGGAGGAGGCTCTTGTGCTCACCTGCTGAGTGCTGCACTCTTGGTAGAGGGGTCCAACCTCCTGGACTGACTCACCTGGAATGAAGGCACCTCCCCGTCTCCCGGTGACACCGTCTGCCAGGGCGCAGGGACACTGGCATTGAGTGAGAATCTGTAGATGGCTGGTCTTCCCTTGCTCCTGGACTTGGAGATGTACACAGTCCCCTGGAGATCTGAAGAAAACAAAAGGCATGAGGGCTGGGGGTACTTCTCAATCAGCAAATCCTACAGACTTGGACAGGAGGGTTCTTCTGGTCTGCTGTCTCCTCTGGGACAGCAGGCACAGCCTCTGCCTTCTGGCAGCACAGCACACCTTTCCAAGGCTGTCACAAATACATCCTGAGCTGCAGGAATTCCTGAAGGCTCATTGATTCATGTCATCTTGGGACCTGGCCCTTTAACTCTTTTATCCTCAAAAATCCCTGCAAAACAGGCTGAACTTACTCTCCTTGCAACCTGCCAACAAGGCTGTGACACAGGCCCAGGATGCCAAAGCTTGGAGTTCCCAGCCCTGTACTCAGATCAGAGGGATCTGTCACTAGACTGTACTGCCACCTGGGTTATAGGACCCTGTCCTGGAGAGCAGGAGGCATTCAGGGCAAGTGGGACTGTAAAGACACCCTTTATATCCAGCACTAGGGCTCAGTGGGGCAGGCTCTGAGGAGAATTATTCCCTATCAGCTGTTCATGGTTTAGTTTCTACCCAAGTGGATCCTTGGGCCCTGGCTCCAAAGGTGGTCAGTCATCACACCCCACTCACCTTGCTGCCCTGTGTCACTTATGCTGCCTTTGCTTCCCCAGGGTGACCCCGAGCCCCTCTTCTTTTTTTCCAAGGAGGTTCGGATGTTGTTCTGCAAACTGTGGGGCTTTTCCTGAAACAAACCTGTCCCACAAGGTTAGTCAGGGAGGAAAGAGCGAAGGGCACAAGAGACCTACCAGCCCTGTGCACACCACAGGCACTGCTGCTGAGGAGGCAACACAGAGCCCCAGCTCTGACACGAGAGCAGCACTTAGGAATTAAAGTAGGCATTTGCCATGGACTATGAGGGAATTGCTCCAGCAGAAACACTCAGACAGCTCCTGGCTAAAGCAGGAAATACTATTCAAAACATTCTACTCGTACAGGCAACTCAACCATCCCACTCCCAAGGTGTGAGTCCCTTCAGCAGGGTCCACCCAATGTCCAGTGAGATATCTGAACACTCGAGGCCTCTGCCTCACGTTTCAGCTCCTCCAGCCCAGGGCGTAGGCTGGGCTGCACCCACCATGGTCTGGGGACCAGCACTCTCACCTGAGCAGGTAATGCAGGAGATGCCTTCAGCGCTCAGGTTGTATTTCAGGTCCAGCAGCACCTGGATGTTGGTGTCAGGCCGGAACAAGACCGGAGCACGGCTGGCGGGATGGAGGCGGCTGGCAAAGAATATGGACAGGAGCAAAACAAGGAGGAAGAGCCCTGCAAGGAGAAGGCCAGGTGAGTGCGTGGGACCCTACATGCACCTTGCACTTAAGGCATGCTCAGAGAGCAGGTGTAGAAAGATTTTTAATGAACCCCATGCCTGGAAATCCCTGTCAGGGCTTGCCATTTTAGATCTGAGAGAAAGGAAAGGGATGGAACAGTTCCTAATGCAGTTCCCTTAGGGACTGACTGCTCTGGGAGCACTCTTTCGCTGTGTTAGAAGCCATTTACCATGTTCCTTTTCTCATAGCTTGTCACTAGTAATCAAGACTTGGGGACTGATTGGGATGCAGTCAAACCCTCTAAAATCCATGCAGATGGAACGCCAGCCCTCCTTCCTTACCCACAATCACCCATCTGCTCTTGACTGCAGACCACAGCACCCAGTGCTCCAGCAGCTCCTGCAGGTGGGTTATCAAGTGCCCCCGGTTGCTCCTCTCTGTAGGGAGCTGCAGATTTTCTGGCATCACGGACACCAAGGGGACATCCCCCATTTCCAGAGAGACTAGAAGAGAAATCAAAGGCAGTCTCAGTGTCATGAGTGTCTCTCAGAGCTCTCTGCTCTCCTCTACCAAATCTTCTGCAAAGTGCTGTACGACTCAAGCTAAAGATGGAGTAAGACCCAGGCAGTGACTTCCAGGATGTCACAGGAAGCTTCTTTGTCAAATCACTGCCATGCAACAGCTACACTTCTGAAACCACAGCTCAGTCCAAATCTATGCTCCAGGCTGTTCCTCCTCTGCCAGATCCCACAAACATTGTCCATAAGGTGACAGGGACACTGCATGCTGCTTGGGCCAAACAGAATTTGTCCCTGTCCCACTAAATATGCCTTCCTGCTAATTATACACAGCTGACCTCATCCTGACTGCAGCCTGGCTCCTCTCTGATCTCTCCTCTCCAGCTCAGGGATGCCAGGGGAACTGCCCTCTTCTCTACATGTGGTGGGACCAAGCCTGGCATGCTGTACAGCTGCCCCACAAACCACACCTGGGCACTGACTGGAACAAGCTGCTTTGCTTCTTCATGAACTACCTGATGCCCAGGGGCCCTGGAGGAAAGGATCCTGCTGGGAGGGATTATTTCCATCCATCACCAGTGCAGGTGGCTCTGGCACACTGAGGAGAGCTCTTTCAGCACAGAGCCAGAGCTTCTCTGCCTGCCTGTCACAGGCAGCTCAGAGCCCCCTCTGCAGCCAGGGGTCTGTACGTGCTGTGGCATGAATCCATTTACCTCCAGCTCCAGTTTGCTCCCAGGCCTGAAAGTTTCTCACTGCCCAGACCATTTCCACTGGGGGTTTTAAAAGGAAGAGATCCCAGCAAGTTTTAAAAGCCAAATACAAGAAAGAAGGACTCTCTAAGCACCTTTATCTTTGTATCAGGGCTAGAAGGATTATCTCCTGCTGACAACAGATAGAATTTCTGGCCTTTTTTGCTAGATTGTTTATGTGGTCTCAGGCAAGTCACCGCCCTTTCTGTGCCATGACAGAGGAGCTGCTCCTGAGAGGTGATGCTGGAGGACAACCAAGTGTTCTCTCTCCTGCTTCCCAAATTCAGTGCTCCAAATGGCAGGGAGGAGAGGAAAACTCTGCTGTCCTGGTGCTACGGATTAGGTGCTATGGCTACATCCATGTCACCATCAGTGCTCCCAGGAAAGCAGATCACATTGGACCCAAGAGAATCAGCAAAGTAGTTACAAAGCATGTATCGACACCCTCTGAAGATCTCAAGCAACTTTACAACCATGAGTTCTGGTTCCTACAACCCCCTGTGCTAGCACCACCTCCAACTCACAATGAGGAGAACTGAGGCAAGGACCAGTGGCAGGGACAGGGGGAACTGCAGGATGAACAGGGCAGTGTGGTCCCCCTGAAGGCACCACACCACAGGCACCTACCAGGCTCCTCCTCCACGCTGAGCAGTGGGATGTCATCGTCAAGGTAGGGGAGGGTCTCTCTGCCTGCCCTGGAGGTGGCCTCTGGGGCAATGAAGAGATCTTCAGCCAGGTGCAAGGCTCTCTTTTTGGTGCACTTCTGACTGCAGCTGGATTGGAGCAGGAAAGGAGACAGAGGCAAGAGTTTTAAGCCACATACCCTGCAAAGAGTTGCCAGTGGGTTCCTTCAGTGACAAGGAGAGCAGCAACAGCCTGCTCTAATTACTTGGAAAGACAACAGGCACTGCCACAAGCAATTTCCATTGCTAAGTGCTGAGAGGTCAGGGCTGGGTTGGATGCACAGAGCAGGGCTGAGCTGTGGCCACCGGGTGCTGAGTGACAGGAGTTTCAGCAGTTCACCTCCCTGCTAATGAATTAAATCAGGCCAGGTCATCTGCAGGGCTAAAGAGCAGGGGAGGGGGAGATGTACTGGCTTTGAACACAGATCTGCACGTCCTGCTTATGCTCACAGGCAGGAGCAGTGGTGATCTGTCTGCCTTGCAGGGCTTGTGTCTCCACAGCTTGGAGGTTTAGCTGTGCATTAAGTGCTCTGAGGACACAAATGGGATGTGTCCCCATAGGATTCAACGCAGAGGATTGACTGATATTGCAGAGGCTGGCTCTTGGGACCCACCTGTGCACATGCCAGGGGAGACTGGTGAGACCCAGGCTATGAGACTGGGACCTGACCCTTCCATTTCGCTCCAGTCTGGAACGGCAGAACTTAAATTTCCCTCCTGACAGGGGGAAAGCCAAAATGCCTGAGGGGACTGAAGATAACTGAGATGACAGGGCAGGAATTTGCACACTGCCTTGAGTTCCACAGGCTGCAGGGCTCACCTGGTTTGGCAGGAGCTCTCTAGTGGGGACACATACAGGGTCCATATTCCGAGAGCAGCTGGCATGGTGAAGAGCACAGCTACCCAGCAGCAGGACACAATCAGTGACATGAAGAGCCCAAAGTCACGCACAGCTGGGATCTACAGGAAGAGAGAGAACATGAAGTTGGGATAAACTGGGGCAGGAGAGCTGGAAATGCAGCAGGCAAGAACCAGATGTCTGGAGGAACCTGAGAGTAGCACACATTGACCTCAGCCATGGCTATCAGCAAACCTGATGGGTAAAGCACTGAGACGGAGCCTGAAAATACTGGATCCTGTTTGGCCAGTGGCACAGGAAATATTGTCTTGAATGCTGATACAGGGAGATTGTCCAGTGCCTTATAGCAGGTAAGGGACAGCCCTGCAGGGTAAGCAGGTTGGGCATCCCCCTGCGCTGGAGGAGAGGACGGATGGTACTGGCAGGTCCCCACTGTTTTAGGCCCTCTGGCAGAAATGGAAAACCCCAAATCCCAGAGGTGCAGGGTACCTGAGAGAAGATGTTGGCAGCATATGCTGCAGCTGTGGTGAGGGAGGTGAAGAAGGTGGCCTTGCCTGCCGTCTGGATCGTGTGGATCATGCGCAGCCGCAGGTCCTTGAGGTGGGTGGCTTGGCGGTAGGTGTTGATGAAAACAAAGACATCATCAACCCCTGGAAAAGCAGGGCAGAGGTGTTGACACTTCACTCACACAATGGTGAGTGACGTGAAAATGCTAAACATGCTAAAAATCTAATTCCCCCCTCAACATTTGACCTGCAAATATTACACTTGGAGGTAAAGGAAGGGAGAGGGCCTGGAAGTTCAGTCTGTGTTTGCCACCATCATCATCCTCTCCCCTGCAGGCAGGAGCTGGGGCAAGGCAGCGCAGGGAGGCTTTGAGAAAGGACATGCTTACCAATCCCCACAATGACAAAGGCAGCCACACCATTGAGTATACCCAGGTACTGGATCCCAAATACGACGTGGTACAGGAACAGAGCCACCAGGCAGCTCAGCCCAATGCTGGCAATGCCAAAGAACGACAGGAACACTACAGCAAGAAAGGAAACATGGAAAAAATAGTGTCTTTGGCCACCCCCAGGAGAACAGACACCCCCTACCTGCCCTGTTGGGATACCCCCATGGAAGTGCTGGTGAGAGGGAAGAGCTCAGGGCTGCAAGAATACTGCTTGCAGACTCTTTCCTGTGAGGCCCATCAGTGAAATGATGTCAGATTTACACCAGTGTTTTAGCAAGATGGAAATATGCATCTTATTCCTGATTCCCTGGGAGCCCTGCCCTCACCCTGCCCACATATCTCTGGAGAATAAGACCTGTGTGCCCTTCCTGCACGCTGCTGTGCCACACAGCCAGGCTAGTGCCAGGGCATCTGAGCCTCTCCCAGGGCTCAGGCACGGGGAATCACAGCACACCTGGATTGGTGTGAGAGCAGGGCAACTGTGAGCACAGCCTACCTGAGCAGGAGGTGAGGATGTAGACCAAGACAGCTATGCAGCTACTGCTGATGAAGGCCAGCAACATGTCGTTGTTGAAAGTCCTCCTCACTTCATAGTCAAACAAATCCGTCCCTCCGTACAGCACCTGCACTTTGCTGGGGTGGGAAGAGAGGAAAGAGGAGGAACAGGCAGAGCTGAGTGCAAAAGGAGCAGAGCCAGGTGATTTAAACACAGGGTCTCCTCCAGAGCCAAAGGAGGTCACTGCTCTAATAACCTGGCAGTTCTGTGAGGAAACAGCTCAGAGTGGTGAGATCAGGTTGAACGAGGTTGCTGCTGGAGGTGAAGTTCACACGAGAAGGGAGAAAAATAAAGAGCAGCTCTAATATTTTTAAAATTCCTCCAGTGCATGGTGGGTCTTTGGCAGTAATAGGCAGCTCCTGAAGCCTCCAAAGCCAATTCCATCTGGAATCCTAATCATTGCTTATTATATTAGCACAGCGGATGCAGGCAGAGTGAGAGCTTATCAGAAACCATATGATTTACCAGCTTCTGCTTCTGGAAGTGGGCTCTGAGCAGAAGTAATCCGAGATAATTTACCAGGAGTACAGTAATGCTGCACCATAGGAGACTGTCAGGGATCTGAGCTTCAGAACTGAGCCTTGGCCCCAATTCCCTTTTGGTTTCTCATAACCACACCCTGCTCTGCCAGCCCATATCTCTGTAGCTGCCTGTTCTCAGGGCTGACAGGGGCTGCCTGCATTCCCAACTGCTTTTGAGGCTCAGTATCCCTTCATTCGGGGAGCTACTGAGACTCAGAGCAGTAGAGCTGGAGCCTAAGAAGGTACTAACACTGGGATTCACTGCCTTCCCTCAGCTGTCTGGGTGCTGAGATGCTCTTTTAGCTCTGTTTAACCATCTCTCTCTCACATGCACTGAGTAAAGCTCTATTCAACAAAGCCTGCATTTCCCCAAACATATCCTGCCCTGAAACTCCCCTCCTTACCCCTCTGTGCAAAAAGCAAAAGCAGAATTGGATCTGCACGTTGATGCCCTGCAATAAAGACCATTTCACCCCCTGCATCAGAACAGCTGGGGACAAGTTCAGAGCAGGAAGGCAGCTCTGTTTGATTTGTGAGATGAAAGCAAAGAGATCCAATGCCTGACCAGAGCAGGCACTGGATTCAACCTTCAGTCCCTTTTCATTGTCTCTTATGCTGTCTCTGGAATGTTGCTGCCGCGGAAGTGGCATCAAAGGGAAGCCAGGCACCTGCCCTGCCTGCACACACCCTCACCTCGTGGACTGCTTGGCCAGCATGGCCACGTAGGTGATGACGAAGTTCTGGAACTTGCGGCGCTGCTCCTCCCAGCGATCCTCCACCGAGTAGTAGTTGGGCAGGGGTGCCCCAAAGAGGATTTCGCTCCTCAGCAGGGAGCTCTTCATGTTCTCGGCAGACAGGCCCTCATCCACATACCAGTAGAATTCAGGGTGGGTCATGGCCAGCTCCAGGGACCCTGGGGGAAAAGGCAGCACCATGGTTTTTAGGTCCTGACTGATTGTCTTAGCAAGGCACAGGATCTGGTCTGACAAAGGGAAATTGGGAGTGATCCTGCTCTTTATCAGAGGGATGCTGACTGACTGCAGAGAGCAAGGAGGGCTGGGGGAAAGCTGGATTGCAAAGACTCACCTTCTGCTTTGTGACTCTGCTTCTGATGCTGCCTACCTGCAGTTCCCATCAGGGACACATCTTCCACCTGACTGACCTGAACCACAGCTCCCTCAGCCAGAAATGCACACAACATCCCCATCCTCACTCCCACTGCTGGATGCACTTCCTTCCTGTACACTGGGACAATATTTGCTCCATCACGCTGGGAAGAACAAGAACTAAACAATGCCCAGGGAAGAGGACAAGTCCTGGCTCTGCTGTGACATGGTACCTCTGCCATCTGACGGTGTGAGAGATGTAGAGAGGGAAGCACTCAGCCAGTTCTGACTAAGAGGCGCTGTCTGTCTACCTCCAAAATCCAGTTTCCTTGAGTTCACACCAGAAAGACCCAAATGATGCTCTTTCCTGTTTTGGTAACAGAAGTATTACTCACACTGGAGCAGATGGAGTTAATTCTTTGCCTGCTCCCTGTATGGCTCCTGGACAGCTCTCAGCTGAGCCTGGCTTGGGAGACAGATGGAGGTTTCATCCCACAGCCACATCACACCCACAGATCCTCATGAGTCACCTCTTTTTCACCATCCAGAGCCTCTGCTCTGCTAGAGGTGCACAGTACAGGGTACAGAGCTGGGAGGAGGAGGCAGGGCCTTCCTCCTCCTCTCCTTATAGGAGACTTTCCAGGTAGTGACTCACAAGCTGCTTTTCAAGCTCCAGAGCAGCCCACAGACCTCTTTCATCTGCTCTACGGTGCAGGGAGGCTCGTCCCTGTTGTCTGTCCAAGCCCTGACATTGCTCTAGTTACCCACAGCCATTCACAGGGGACGAGGGTCAGTAGAAGAGACCTGTACCATGCAGGACTGCCCCTCACTTGTGCCTCTTGCTCAGCTGTGGGGGCCTGTGAGACCAGTGACTGGAGCTGATGAAAGGGTTGGAAAGGGGCCCCAGTACAGAAAAGACAATTCCTCAAGGCACAACCCAGCAGCCTCTTCCTCTCTGCACGAGGCAGTCTCACCCCTCTCAGCTGCACACCAGGGACTGCCTGAACTTGAGGAGGTCCTCTCCTTGAGCACACCAGCCCTCGCCCACGGCCCTCAGCTCACCTTGGATGTCAGCGAGGTCTTGTCCCATGCCATCGTAGTAAATCTTCCCTCCTCTCTCAGTGGGGAAGAAGTAGGTCATGAGGGAACTGGGAGGGGAGCAGTAGGAGTAGGAGCCCAGGGGCAGGTCCTTCAAGACCTCGTGGGGCTTCCAGCAGAACTCCCGGAAGCGAGGGTGGTCCATGATCTTGCGCTCGACCTCGTGGATGGTGACCAGGCGCTCGGTGGTGAAGATGTTGTTCTCCGAGTCCCCCCGCGCCAGGAAGATGAGCTCGATGCGCCAGTGGGCGTGGGTCTGCGTGTTGGCACTGATGTAGGTGCTGGAGTAGTCCCAGCGTGGGGCTCCCCTCCCGACCCGGGACGTCCTGTTCCCTGGGCTGGGGGGCACACGGGGCTCGGGGGAGCCTGCCCTGCCCTCCGCGGGACTGCGCCTGACCCGCGCGCCGACCCCCAGGTGGGAAGCGTTGAGGTGAAGCTGCTGGAGCTGCTCAAAGATGAGCCTCTGCAGCGTCTCGGAGGTGAAGTCAGCCAGGTCCCGGCGGTTCCTCCCCCAGGACCCAAACTGGGACTTGAGGGCCAGGGCAAGGGCGTCGAAGCGCTGCGAGGACTCGTGGTTGCGGATCTCGAAAGCGTTGTAGGAGATGTCGATGTCCAGGGCCGGGTAGTGCAAGAACATGACGACAGCGAGCACGGCAGGGATGGCACAGCCTAGGAAAAGGATGAAGCCAGCGCAGTACGGGTTGGTAAACACCCAGCCAACAATATTCCAGAAGCCAGACACGGGCAGGGTGACACGCAGGGGCCTGACCCTGCACGGGCTTTTCCCACACAGCAGAGCACCCTCTCGCCTCTTGCAGGAGCTGAAGGCCACCTCTTCATCCTCCTCCTCCAGCCAAGCATCCTGTAACAAGGGGTCATCCTCTGTGTCCATGTCCAGCGCCTGCACACAGGGGCAGAGAAAAGCAGTCAGCAAGGCCCAGCAGTGGCGTCCCAGGCACAGCCATGGACTCACAGCAGCTGCCCAAGGGTCCCAGTGGCAGAGCTGGGAGGGAGGCACATTCCAGCCCCCTCAGGAGCAAAAGCATCCCTCCTTCCAAACCCCACAAATTGGCTGCAAAAGCAGCCTTGCCGTGGGGTATCCAACACCCTGCTGGGCAGAGGAACCAGAGAGGCAGAAGTTCAAGCAGCAGTCCCAGAGCTCAGTGCTGAGGCGGTGGATGGCTCTGCAGGGCTCTGCACGGCTCCAGGAGCAGCAGGCACAGAGACTGCAGGGATTCACATTGTGCTGCTCAGACTGCAGCAGCGGGAACATTTAATTAGCTAACCTGGTTCTCACACCCAGGAACGGTTCATGCTACCAGATAAAAAATGCAAGGGAGTGTATCCTTCTCTCCTTAAACCAGACAGTAGGTTTTCCCCAGCTATTTATAGCTGTATTCATCTTTCAAAGTCTGCATGTGTGTGCACCCAGAGCCAGAAGCACAGGCACCCACACCTGCACACACACACACGAATGCACAGACTTGCACATCCCAAACCCTCCTGAACTCACTGTGACCCTGCTCCAGTCCCTCAAGCCCCTCCATCTCCAGTGTGGGAAGGGAAAGGGCTGAACACCTCTGCTTTCCCTTCCACCTCTGCTTTCCCTTCCACCTCTGAGGAATATTGAGTATGTTTCCCCCGTTCCTATGGAACAACCAGGAAGCAAGAGCAGTTACTGCTCCCATGGAATGCAGGAGGAAACTCTCCCTGATCAGTCCATGCTTGGGCAGGAAAGGAAGGGATAATCCCTGGGAGATGCTCTCCTTTGCAAGGGAGTTCCCAGACTTTCCCTGGGTGTCTCAGGGAAGCCTCCCAAGCCAGGGGTCCATGGGTGGTGGTCCCTGAAAGCAAAGCCCAGACCCTGTAAGGGTCCATTCCTTTCCCAGCAGCAAAACCAGCAGTCCCCACTCACTTGAATGAATGACTGAACAGGTTCAGTTTGTTACCTGACCCTGGGAGTTGAAAGCAATTTACACACAGGCCAGAAACAATTTACGAGCTTTGCTCCCAACCACTGTTTTTATTTTAACAGGCTTTATTTCAGTAGGAAGATAAATTGCCAGCACCTCTTAACTGTAGGTCCTCAGAAGACCTGGGAGCTGCATGAACTTGGACCGAGAGGAAAAGCAATGGGGCAGAAATGCTCCCTGGCAGGAGAGGGCTGTACAAGGGAGCAGGAGTCACAGCCTCTGAGGGACAGCCAAGCTACAGCCTCAGCTCAGTTCTTAGTGCAGAACTGCATGGGCAGGTGCAAATCTCACTCATCCCACCTGGGCAGGTTGGGGAGGACCTGCAGTTTCCTCCCCTCCACTCCTGCCCTTTCTCTCACTGGCCTGGGCTCTTCTTCAGAAGGGAGTTACTGTGAGACCTGAACAAGTGCACGTATTCTCTCTTTAGAAAGAGAGGTAAAGAGCCATAATAATTTCCCATTTATTGAGCTACTGAGGAGAAAGAGGGAAAAGATTCTAATCCTGAGACAGAAGAACCTGAACGTGACAAGAAAGGGAAATGAGAGAGAGAGAGATGGTAATAAGGCAGAAAAGGGATCACACCCTCTTCTTTCTTAACCAAGAGCTAAATCCTCAACTCAAGGATGGGATTAGACCTCAGGCATCTCCCTCTGGCTCTTCCATCCATGCTCACAGGGACTGCAGTATAACAGATAGGCACCTACAGTATCTGATGCCCAACACCTTGGCTGCAGACTGGTACAAATTTACACCACCGGTGGAAACCCAGCACAGCAAATGCTGGGAAAGCCCCAAGACTGTAAACACTCACATGAGAAATGAGCCAGGGAAGGACTAAGATTTGGTCTGGGAGAGAGGCAAGGGCAGGGCAGGAGGCACCTGGGCTGGGCTGTCCCTGACAGCGAAGCCTCCCTCTGCTCTCGTAGGGGGGATGTGCCTGCATCCACAACTCTGAACCCCCTTCAAGGGACTTTACCACATGATTCGGCTCCAAAGCCAGACACAGCACACTTGGCACTGCCCTTGGGACTCGTCTGGCTTTGCTGCCTCCCTCAGATCCTGCCTGGGTCAGGATGAAAGCTCATCCAACCCAAAGCACTGCAGACGGAATCAGCAGCAGAGATAAACCCTGAAATCAGCCAGAAGGGGATTGAAATGCATGTTTTCTGCTTGAATTGTACTTGAGGGCTTGGCCTGTTTTTCCTCCACCACTTCCCATACTATCCAGGCACTCCCAGCACTGAATCGTGGCCCAGTTACTTTTTCAACTCCAGGATATGCAGTGGCCTCAATCCTGCAGCCCTGCCTCACCTCTGAGCAAGCTCAGCCTGTGCCAGGCTGAAAGGGCTAGAGGAGAAGAGCACTCCTGGGAGCCCTGGATGCATTTCTTTAGAGAACAGGCAGGTTGGAGGGGTAAGCATTCGGATTTCTTGGGCTTCCCTCTGCCCTTTCCAAAGCAAACAGGTTTCCTCCAGGCAGGATCCAGCTCAAGCCCCAAGAGCCCCACAGGGATCGTCACTCACTTGCACCTCAACCAGGAAAAACACCCAAGCAGCTCCCACATGACAGCTCTTTTTCAGTGACATCTAGGATAGAAGAAAGTCATTGGCAAGTTGGAGAGAGGCAGTGACAGATGAGGAAGCTAATTACAACCGACCTGACTAATTAATGCTGACTTTCAGATTAAAAAATCCTCACTAGTGTTCCATTTCAATTACTCAGTTGCTCCTTCTTACAGGAGAATGGGGGCCTTGTGCATCAGACAGGCAGAAAGAAAAGAGGAAAGAAAACAGCAGGCTAGAAGGGGAGGGAAAGACAATTTCTATAATATGGGAGATTCTCATCGACAAAATAATTAAACTTCACACTGGTTTCTCCCATGGGCAGAGCTTTCAGAGCAGAGTAGTTTTGTGGTCCTATTTGTATTCCTGAAAACTCCTGGAGTTTCTACCAAAGGCAGCTTTAAGCCCCTTTGTTAGCTACATAAAGTTCTGCTGAGAGGGATAGAAGTGGCCTTTGTGCTTCCAAATCACCCTGAGAGCATCCAAGTCCTGCCAAAAGCCACCTCTGTGTGCGGATTCCGAGCTGCTGGTGCCTCCCAGACCCTGCTGTGCTGGGGGACACTGGACACAGCTCTGGCTGAGTGGAACAAGTGGAGGGCATCATTAATGTACCCACACAAAAGCAGGACTCCACAAGGACACCAAGACTCAGCATCAGAGTCTTGCTCTGTGCTTAAATCACTAAGACTGATCTAGAAGTATAATTTTAAAACACAACCAGAAAGGGCCTTCTCATGGCCCTGTAACTTCTCATGCACTGTAACTGCATGGAGTGTTGTAACTGTGCACGAGGTGCTGCCCTTTCCCAGTGCAGATTGCCTTTCATGACTGGGCAAATGAAACAGTAAGGAGAATCAGATGTGACTTTCCTCTAACTGCACGTCTGACTTCCAGCAATGTTGCACTCCTGGAAAAGCAAAGCAGGCCCTGGACGCCTGAGCCGGAATCTCCTAAAAGACTTCTCAAAACATTGGTTTAATTCAGCCATGAACCAAAAACTGTGCCTGAGGCTGCAAGCCAGAACCTGTTTCAGTGGGATACAAGCCCAGAGATGCACATGCTGCTCCAAGGCACTGGTTTGATCTGCTGGCTGGGCTGGCTCCACCTTTATTAGTTAAGCAGGTTCACTTTTCCAGCTGCAAGCACAACACACAACAAGGGTTTAATCTATTTTCTTTCTGTGTGCTTTGCATTTCCCTCTCCACTTGCTCTAAATCCTTTGGTAAGATGCACAAAAACACTGCCAGACCTCAGGCACTTTGCAGATCAGAATGACATCAGAATGCTCCAGCGGCACAGTGCTCTTGGAATTACAGTGTAACGATATAAATATGTGTTTGCTGGGGGAGAAGTTCAACAAAACAATTTAAAAGGTATATATTTAAAGCTCTACACTCTGTAATTCCACTTGCCCACAGGAAGTGAGACAATATAGGGTTGTACATAGGATGGAGGATTATCTGATCTTCCGAGCTTTATGAAATCAAGGACCTGCACACACACTTCCAACTGAGGTGTCCTCTTCTACTCCTGACTGTCCCACCCCTCTTCCCCCCATACAGGCACTTTTAGACCCTGGTTAAGATAAAAACAGCTGGAAACAGAAGGAACCGGTCAGACTTAATGACCTTAAAGGTCTTTTCCAACCCTGAATGATTCTACTGTCTCCTGACCAGCTTTCAGATGGGGCAAAGTGCTTGGAGCACTCTCAGCCTGTGACATCGAGGATCTCCTGCCTGCACCTGCCTGCTATTCCAGACTCTGACAGACACTGATTAGATCTACTCATAATTGCATGCCAAAAACAGTGTGGAAAGATTAGCTGCAAAGTCAAGCACTCACCAGTCAGGAAATGCCAGATTCAGGGCCGGCACAGCATCCTTAATTTGTCCCCCTTCTGTAAATGCTTTGCAGTGCAGTTTTGCTTCCAAGCCCGGTGTCCAAGGCAAGGACTCTGGCCTCCACCAGTGCATGCAGGGGATGATGCTCCCCAAAGCCAGCAGCAATTCGCTCCCCTGTTCTCTGCTCATCATTCAGCGTGTGGTCTCATGCCTCATTTCCTGCACGCCGCTCATGCCTGGCTCACAGGCAGAATTATTAATTTCCTCATGAGCTTTTCAACACTGCCTGTCACGACAGAGTCTGAGGGCTGAACAAACAGGGCTGAACTGAATCTTCTCCCAGCATCTTGGAGAAGGAGGGGGTGGTGTACTCCGTGTCTGACAGATGCAGGAGCTCAGGGGATGAGAAGAACGAAGTAGACACGTATTTTGGGCGCCTAGTTTGACACACAAGATACCAAATCCCTTGGGGGGGCAAAGATGGCACCAAAGCACAAACTCTGCTGTGTTCTGTGACCAAAATTCAAGGTGTAACATCAAGCATAACCATCACAGTGCAACATAACCTTTATGCTGATGAGGGACAGCCAACCTCCACAATGAGAGCCAATTTCGCACCATCCGTGCTACCAGAAGGACACAATAAATTGCCCCAAAATACTGGTTTTAAGGTACTGAAATTGGCCCTTTTCAAAGGGAAAGGTCACTGGGATTTTCTGGCATCAAACCACACGTGCTCAGCGCCCCGTCACGCCAGGATTGCTGCAGAGGTAAACCCGCACGAGCACTTCGCTCACACGCCCATCACTGCCAAAGAGAATTAATTTCCTGATAAAATAATTTGCTCCTGGTTATTGTAAGTAATGACTGTAGGTGTCAGAAGACAGCTTCTTGGTTATAATCTCACAAAACATGCCTTGCAGCCCTGTGCCATGTTCACCACTCGAGTCACTTGCTCGTGCTGGTTGATAAGCTCTGCTGTCACTCAGGCATGTGGCACTTACAGGTCTCTGCACACAAGCAAGCTGAGGCTCTGATATGCTTGTGACATGACTTACCTAACCACTACAAAAATTACTTAGATTTTGTCTGAGCCCCAGCCAGTTGCTGTTGCTAAGTGAAGAGCTGGCTGGGTGCCTTTGGGTGCCTTGACACCGACTTCAAAAGCCCCCTGGATCCCACCTGCCAGGGGCCCAAAGGAACAAGCTTGTTAAAGCTGTGTGGATTCCCACCTGTGCTCAGATTTGCAGATCATCAAATACAGATGGCTGCCACAAACCAGGGCCTTGTGTTATTATTCCAAGAAGCATCACTGCAGGAAGAAATCTCAGGCCACAGAGAGGAATCAGTGGTTCCCAAGCCAAGGGAATAAACTGCCATTCCCAAAGCTTGTGTGCTGCTCTTTTTCAGACAAACTCCAGCTTCCCACATCACTGTCACCCTGAAAAGGAAAGCCAAGTCCTGCTGTCAGTGCCTGCCAGTCCTTTATTATTCCACCCTGTGCTCAGGCTCCTCAGTTTACGTCACTGTGGGCACTGGTACCACTCTGTGCTCAGCTGCAGGATTCCCATGCAGATTCCAACTCTGCTCCCCACACCTGCTCCTTGGAGCAGGAGGAAGGACACAGACAAGGGCTGGCTGTGCTGTCTCCTCCATCTGCAGCTCAAAAATAGCATGTTTGTGTGTACACTGCTCCTGGGACTGATCAAAACACATTCTCCTCAAGGCCCCTCTCCAGTCTCCCCATAAGCTGCCAGTTCATCACTGAGGTAGAGAAGGACAATTTCTTCCCCTTTGCACGTGAGCTGCTTTCTCTCAGCAGTTGTGGTTCTTTGCTGGTTGTGGTTCTGTGGGCAGCAATGTGAAAGGTAACCCAGGAATGCCAACCTGTGCTGCCAGGCCTTCTTGCCAACCACAGCACAGGCAGCTGTTTTGTCTCCACTCCTTGCCACTCCAGCACGAAAAAGTACAATTAAGGTTAAAAGAAAACATTACAAGTGCTCCAGGTGAAGTGTCTGTATTCAGGCAGCTCTGCCTGTGGTGCTCTGACCTTCCAGGAAGAGGAGGCAGAGGCACAAAGTCCCATCTGCACATGTGTCAGTCACACAGGTCACAGTGTCTCGCTCCAGGTGCCTCCCAGCATCACTCTGATGGATCTAAAGGTCTTGCTTTTTTCACTGCTATAATTTACTGACATCAGAAAATGCCAGACTCACAACAGGAAGGCTGTAAGGCTGCAATCTGTGGTGGGGACACAGCTCCCATGGCATTACAGTCACACTCCGTTCTTCAGCAGGGCTTTCCACTCACCAGCATGAGAGAGGAGTGGGTGATGCTGTAGCCCTCTCCTAAATGAGGGAGCAGCAGAAATACCCATTCCAGCTCCATTCACTGAGCTGAGCTCGTCTGTGGCACAGACATGGCCTTTCATTCCTGAGAATGCATGGAGATCTTCCTACTGGATCAGGAGGGACTCACAAAGTAGTTTGTAGCTGGCTGGCTCTCAGCAGCCTAAAAGAAGTGGGATCTGAGCAGGTATGTCTTTCTTGCCTCCCACACTTCTCTCTCTCAGAATCAGATGCAGCTAGCTGTCCTCCTCCCATGAAAACCTGGTGCTTCTGGAATCGGATTAATTAGCACTCCTATTTCATCTTCCCAGGATCACTGAGAAATCTGGAAGCAGAGGTGTAAAACCCAGAGGCTGAAGAGCCTCTAGTGCCACGGCTCACTGCTCCAGAGCAGGACCTGGGCGAGCACAAGGTTTTTCAGAATAGAAGGAAAACTTCCTGAGGGGAAGGGGAGGACGTGGAGAGGAGACAAGCTGCCTCAATGCCTGTTGGCAGATCCCCTGCCAGTACAAGGACTAAAAGCTCATTGCCAGCTGCACCAGCCATGCAGAAACTCACATTAAATGTGCCCACAGCTCAGTGAGCACAACCCTGCAGACCATTAGCAGAGGAGGGGGCAGGGTCTCAAAATAAGCAAACGGCCTTTAATGACACATTCATCTCAGGGAGAGTCCAGGGTGCTTCCCAACACAAACAAGAGACACCTCGAGCTGGTTCCCTTTAGTCCCTGTGCAAGGGAGGGAAATGTTGTTGGCAGCAGCTCCCAGAGGCTGCCAGTGAAGCTGGGTCTCCAGGGTGCAGGTTTAGGCCACCAGGTCTGAGCTGAGACAGCAGCAATGTCCCTTCTCTCTCTTCTTCTCCACCCTCCCAGCACAACCCCACTGAAGCAGTTCAGAAAAGAGAAAGATCACCCTTGCCCCTGTTCCTCCTCTACCACCAGAGGTGCAAGGATTCACAGCCATGGGAGCTGCACGAGCTGTGAGTGGCAATCATCCAACCCAGAGGGACAAGGGACTGCCAAAGGGACTGGCAAAGGATCAGAGCATTTCAGGCAACTGTTCCCAGTTCCTTACTGCATCCCACACTTCCAGCCAGGCCTTCACAGGCTGAGATGCTACTTGTGTTAACTGTTAGGACCAAGTCCTGCAGTTAAAACACACAGAAAGAGAAGGAAACATTTGTGGCTCTATTATTAGTTTTTCTAGCTTTCCCAGGGCAAATCACATCATCTGCTCTGAACTGCTCTCATATTCTGGAGCCTGAAACCCCGTCTTCCATCCTTTCACAATATGCCTTGTTCCAAAGCCTCCTGGGATTCCCCTCCACAAGCAAATGCAGGCTATTTTTGCACAGACATTTGTAAATTGATTTTCAAAGCGACTCACTCCACTGCCCTGTGCTGACGTGGAACTGTGTCTGGCCCTCTGGAAACCAGACTGTTGGCTGAGTAAGGGAGCAGACTCCCTGCAGGCACTTCCCAAATCAGCCAGAGGAATGGAAATGCAAACAGTACCAGGATCCACATCATAACAGACTAGAAGGGCATGTAGGCAGGTGGTGCACACGCAGGAATGAGTTTAGCTGCATGTGTGCCAAGGTTTGGATGCAGAAGGACTGACCTCCCCCACAACACACCAGAAACACAAGAAACTGCAAGAGGTCTGTAAAGGAAATGTCATCCAAATCTAATCTGTCTCTGCTCCTCACAGTAGAGCTCCCTGTTACTGGCATCTAAATAAGGTCAGCTGCTTTCTTGTGCCACTTACACACAAACCCAGGCTATGAACTCTGCAGTTACTGCGAGGGAACCTGCACCGAGGAACTGGTTCCACACAGCAGATTTACAGGAATGAAGATTCTTCTCTTTGGCTTAAGCAGTGCCGTGGGGGATGAAACATTTACCTGCTGTTATATCTTGTTTCCAGTTGTCATAGGCCAGTGTTTTATAGCTCCCTACGACGCTGCAGCGTTTCTGCCACGCTCTGTGCACAAGACACCAGTGCCACCAGTGAAACGGACCCCAGACCATCCCAGACCACAGCTCAACTGCCACTCACTGCCTGTCAGAGGACAGAGCTGAGATGCAGGGGTTAGGATTGGGAGGAGGAAGAGAAGGGATGGCCTTGCAAGTAAAATTCAGTTTGGCTGTGGAAAGAAGTGGCTTGCAGCACCCACACCAGGAGGTGAGACACTCCATCTACAAGCACATCCACAGATTTGACACCAGGGAGAGTCCAGGGCACTGATGGGTGCTCTGTGGGTCCTGAAGGAGCACAGCTTGCAATGCCCAGAGTTTGGAAATGGCAACTGCTGGCAGGAAGCACCAGGAGGAGCAGCTTTCTGCGTGGTCCAAGAACTGGCCCGAGCCTCCCAGCACAGTAGGTTTAGCTTTCAGAACAAGCTGTTGTCTATATTGTCCAGAGTCCCAACCCTCAGTTTAAACAGAGCCCACTGTTTTATTGAGGCACTTTCATGCTCTTGTGGGACTGTCCACCTTTCCATTTCAACTCAACCATAAAAATTGGCTTGGAGATTAAACCTGGTGCCTGAGTTGTTCCCTGGAGAGCAAGTGGGAGGGTGTGAGAGGGGGGAGGTGGAGGGAAAGAGGTGGCAGTGGAAATATGAAGACAGAGGATTTGGCCAGGTTTGATTTACAAGCAGGAGCCAGGGCTGCTTTGGGAACATCTCAGACATGTTTAAAATGCCCTGTTGGGCTCTAGTTCAAATCTGAGTTTGCAGCCCTGTCTTCTGCAGGAATTCATTTGCCTTGTTAAAAGGAGGAACAAAGAGAAATGGTTGGATTCAGGGAATCAAGTGTGCTGCATGTTCAGCAGTACCCCGAGCAGCAGAAAGGATTAGGTGCTGTTTTGTGGGTTTTTTTCCCAAATTCTCTCCACAGACCTTAATAAGCACTCCAGAGGAGTTTATTCTCAGCTCCTGGGTGTAACACAGAGCCAAGAAACCAGTCAACATACAGCACATCCCCACTAGGAGCAAAGAGCACTTTGTGCATCATGTATCAGCAACTGCATAAACCCTTTGCAAACACCTATCAGATCCAATTCCCTGTTCCTCTAGGGAAATAGGCAGGATTATATGCAAGTTCACAAATGAATTAAGCAGGATTCCACAGTCTAGCTCCGGCTCCGCTGGAATTCAGCCATTACTTTTGCTGACTTTAACAGAAGCTAAATACAGACCAAGCAAGCCACAGCTAACGTTGTTCAGCTTTGGCTGCCATTTGGGGAGCAGCAGTGGTACCCTACAACTGCAGTTAACAGCGACACTGAGACTCTGTGACTTGCTACCCAACCTCAGACAGCCAAGTGAGCTCAGAGATCTCCCAGAACCCTCCTCCCTGTTCGAGTCAAAGGAATTTCTGCTATGCAAAAATGAGATGGGAAGAAAGTCTGTGGCAGCGTCAGACAGGATGCCCTGAAGCCCAAACAAGCCCATCCGTGTAGTTATCTCAGCAGGTAGATCCCGGGTTAACATTCCCAGCGACAAATCCAAAGTGGCTTCCCTGCCGTGCCTGAGTGAGATTGCAGCTGCAGAACCAGGCCCCAGAAGCAACAGCACCCACAGCCTGGAGTGCAGGCAGAAAAATGATGCTCACCCCTGACTCTCCCCCCATAAAGCAGCAGAGAGTCAAGGCCAGCAGCAGTTTTAAGAACCAGATGACTGCCAGTGTGTCTTTCACCCCCTGCAAACACATTGGCCTCTCCCCCTTCTCCACTATTTATGTTACATGAACTGCCTTCTATTCAGGAGGAGCTGTTCTCTATTAACAGAGCTTGGCAAAGATCAGGAATGAACTGTGCCAACTTTCAAGGCTGCTGCCTTAAGGCAGATGGCAGGGAAAGTATCCCAGCCTTGTTCCCCAAACCTCTTCTCCCAGCAAGCAGAGATATAACTCAAAAACAGGAAAAAAAAGGGTCAGGCATCCGTGAAGCCCTAATTTCAGTGCAGGAGACAGCCTGTGTAGGGGGTGCCCTTCTCTGCCATGGGTGTGCCAGTCACTCCACGGGCAAGCAGAGCCTGTGGCACCATCAGGATCCACAGGCTCAGAGCAAGGGCAGAGGTTTAACTGGAATTCTTAGACTTCCAGAGTTACAACAAGAGAGAGGACATGCTCTGCCTCCCTCCAAGGTGCTGCTATCATGAAAGAAAAGCAGCA